AATAATAATAATAATAATAATAATAATCGAGCAGTAAAGCATTTTGGGATTCCTTCTGTAAACAGTTAATGTCATCTTAAAAAAGAACAACCCAAACAGCCCTCAAAATGCCACTATCTGCTTACTGCCATAAAATGCTTAACTTCATACAAACCAACCGCTGTTCCTTTCACCAGGCAATGGCATCCAATTTCTTTATCAGCAAGGCAAACTGGTTTGGTTTTTTTTTTTAGCAGAAATATTCTAGAAGTATTTAAAGGGAGAAGTCAAACCTGGGACGCCTGAAACGATCATCTCGATCAAAATCTCTCTCTCTGTCAAATTCACGGTCTTTCTCATTTTCATCACGATCTTTGTCTCGATCCCATTCGCGGTCTCCTGGGGGTCTGGAGTCTCGGGGAGGCCCCCAGCTGTCCTCTCGAGCCTTTTCCCGTTCTCTCCATCCCCCTATAAGAAAGAAACACAAAGGAATGTGTGTCTGACCTCTGATCTCTCTGTAGACAAAGAATCCTTTACTTCTCTCACACAGAAACTGGTTGTTCAAGTTTTGGTCCCTGAGGATCCAACTCAAGATGCTTGTAAAAAGCGCAGGTTGAGTGGGAGCCACAGACAAAGCGCTGCAGAAACTGCTGGACATGAAGACAGGGATATGTCAGGACTGCCTGCCTGTAGCAGTTCAGCAGAGCTCATTATACCCTGCAGTTTTCAGTCAGAAACCACAAACTCCTCACAAGTCTCATGAAAAACAAGGGCAGGAAGAAGTAAAGGGGGTGGGTAGCTCCAGACAGCAGATTCCTTTGTGAAAATGTACAAGTGAGGATATTTTAGGCAAGGAAATTTTGATGAATGTACTGCTTTTTAAATCACCACTTTAAAATACAACTATGGCTTACAGTGCATCCTGCAGTATTAGCTATTTATGAATGGGAGTTCTTTATTATGCAGCCTGCTTTTTCCTTGAATAGGAAAAAGGTGAAAGCTTCTAGGAGTGCAAGTATTGAGATTTATGTTCACTTTGCAACAGGTCTGGATTGCAGAATTAGTGCCTACTTTATAAAATTATGTGGCACCTAAATCTGCATTAAAAAAACTCAAAACAAATCAGGAAATCAAAATCATATCTAACATTTAAACATCATCAAAAGTTCTGAAAAAAAATCAGAAAGAGTTGCAATAGTCACCATCAACAAGACTTGAGGCTAGAAACAAACTATACAAGAATAGGATAATTCAAGTTGTAAGGGACCTCAGAAGGTCATCGAGTCCAAAATCCTGCTCAAAGCAGGATTTTCAAGAAAGGTAGATAAAAAAGGCAAAAAAGGAACAGTAAAAATAGGACTATCTTTGTACACATTAAAAAAAAAAAAAGCTTATCAAAACCAGACCCACTTGAATGATGTATCAAAATCCTCCTTAGGAGGTTAATTTCAGACATATAAATGGGGCGAGGAAAGAGAGGGAGGTGTGCCAAGCTAGTGAGAATGTTTCTCTCCCAGAGCATTCAACTTGTTTTGCACACAGGGAAATTACCAGCGTTACTATGTGACCTTTAGGTATCTCCCAGGCAAGCAACAGACACTGCTGCATTTTTTAATTCAACCAAATTAAAAGGTTTAATTATACTAAGTAAAGGAATGTCCGCATTAGCCAAATTAATCCAGATGTTTTCAGAGTTGATTCTCCCATCTCTGGCAGCAAGTACGTCACATCCATTACATACTAGGTTAACTCACCCTTTGGAGGTTAAATTATTATTATATTTTACCTGGTTTACCAAATGGTCTCCAAGGACCTGGCCTTGAATCATCACCACTACGCCATGGACCCCTGTCGTCATCTCGTCTGGAGAGCCTGTCATCGTCTGCATTACGCCATGGTCCCCTGTCATCATCACGCCTTGACATCCTGTCGTCATCCATCCCCCGCCTGGGACCTCTGTCATCATCCATCGCCCTCCTGGGACCTCTGTCGTCATCCATCGCCCTCCTGGGACCTCTGTCATCATCCATCCCCCGCCTGGGACCTCTGTCGTCATCTGCAGCACGCCAGCTGCCCCGGTCATCATCCAGCGCACGCCTGGGTGGCCTGTCATCATCCAAAGCCCGTCTGGGTGGTCTGTCGTCATCCATTCCACGCCTGGGACCTCTGTCATCATCTGCTGCACGCCAACTGCCTCTGTCATCGTCCAAGCCGCGCCTGGGTGGCCTGTCCTCATCCAAAGCCCGTCTGGGTGGCCTGTCATCATCCATTCCACGCCTGGGACCCCTGTCATCATCCATTCCACGCCTGGGACCTCTGTCGT